GGGGGCACGATTCAAATCAAGCCCAAACGGATAAGGGAGTCTTGGAAAGACAGGAGAGAACACTGAAGCGAACCACGCAAGAGAGAGTCTGGAAAGAAGTAAAGAACAACGAAACAGATGAGAGAGGGGGAGAGGGGGAGAGGTGGAGATGGCGGAGAGACGGAGGGGAGGGGGAGGAGGAGGGAGGGGCATGAAGAACAACAGCCACAGCGGAACAAACTACATGAAATCTTGTGAACCAGACTGGGTGAATATCACCAGGAGTGATTCCACTGATTGCAAACGGACAAGCAGAGTGGAGCCTTTGACCAAACCTCGAGAACAGCTTTACAACACACACAGAGACAACGAAGCGGAGAGTCCGAGAGAAACCGAGCGAGCCAGGCCAATGGCGAGATCCTGGCCCCGGCAGTTCAGGAAAGGCGCTGTTTCGCACAACTCTGGTCGCCACTGGTGCCGCTTTGGCAGCTCTTGCCGCATCGGTCACCTCAAGGGTGACATGTTTGAGGGGTTGGGGTCGGACAGGAGTTTAAAGACCCTACAAGCAGGATGCCCGGCCCAAAAAATGGCCCTCACTTTCTCTGGAACGCCAAAAGAACCCACACAGCCCAGCTCTTTGACTGCGCAGCTGAAGCCGCGCCTGTGCATTGCTGCGCGCAGGCCGAGCCCTGGCAGCTGAAGGCGCACTCGGGTCCTGGCTCGCAAGCCAGGAGCAATCGGCAGCTTGTAGCCCTCTTTGTAGGCTAAGCTCTTTAGACCTTTGGAGCTCTCTTCTTTTGCTCCCAGATGCTTTCGTGAGGAGAGCCCGCCTTGGCACTTCAAGCCACAGCTGCCGATCTCCTGGCGCTCTCGGCTCTTGGCTTTGCAAAAGAAAGAGCAAGGTCACTGAAGAAGGCCCTCCATCACCGGGCCTGAAGATCACCCTGGCATCGGTAGGCACCTCGGCACTTGGCTCTGCATGCTCTGCAGCCGGTGCAAGAGAGATCGGCAGGATTTCTTTTGGCGCCCTGACATCGGCTGCCCTGGCATTCTGCAGCGCACTGGTGGCCAATGCACTCGAAACCACACTGCCTGGAGCAACAGCCAGAAGAGGCGATCAGACATTCTACGCAGCCATGCTGTGCTTTGCACGTACTCGCTGTATTGGCAATGCTTTCGAGAACGTACCGCATTCAAGCCATGAAGTGTCGTCCGATGTGCACAAGGTGTGGACATCAACGAGGTTTGACACGGTCTTTTGCCACGCTGAAGAAGCCAATCTCGGATCACATCAGCAGCCGGAAAACTCATTTATCACCCTGCAGGCAATGAAACTACGAGTGATCGCCGCTGCGGAAGTTCAACTCAGGAGGAGGAAAGGGTGCTATCGTGACAGAGACTGAACTGAATGTTCTGGTTCTGAATTTGTAGCGGATTGTCAAAGAGGCACATCGGCCTTGCAGTTCTTCCCGGCGCAACAACAACTTCCTGTTTTCCTCGTGATATGGAAATCATGGTACGAGCGAATCCAGACCGCCAAGGCAGGATGGATTTGTGAGACATCCATGCACATCGAGTCAATTCCTTGATCGTCCTTGTACTACGCCATCTCGTGAAACTTTACCACGTGCTTGTCTGCATGTATTCTTCTACGCGAAGCCACCAACAGCTCGAACCTTGCACCGGTATCGAGTTTAATCAACTGGATCTTCTGAGGACCCCTGGTCCAAGCAACAAGAGTCAACAACATGCTTGGTAGCTCATCGCCTATCTTCCATGTGCTGATCTTGGATTCAGCGACATCATCACAGAACTAGCGCCACCGCACAGAAGATGCTGGAGGATGCATGCCCCGGCCTGCCCACGCACTTGGCCGCACAATTCCCCAACTGACCTCAGTGGCAGTACAGGTCGACATGCTCTGAAAAACCTGCGACTCTAGCATCGCAGCTCCGAGCAATCTCAATCTCACGCGTTGTCTCAAAACCCTAAAGATGATGCTTTCTCAATCATACAGCGGGCCCTTTCGGTGTACTCCTTATATCGAGGATCCCATACATGATCCCTGTACTAGGGCTACTAGGAAGTCTATAGTTCTCTTCGCGAACCGTTTCAGCCACCGTGCCATACTCGCCGCTGCAGTACGCACCACAACGATCGCCTGGCAACGGGATGCCGGTCCAAGCGCACACTGCAGCAACACAGACATTCAAGGGATCCATGCCGCAAAAACTTAACAAGTCTGCAGCAGGGTACCAGAGCAGCTGCGTGCGCATTCTGCGCCCTGGCAATAGTAGCCGCACTCGAAACCTGCCAGGTGCAGTCCTACAGGTACCTCAGCTTGTTTTTGGGCTCGCCACTAAAAATGCAGGCCTTTGCATTCCTTGCCGCATTGTTGAACATCAGAGGCAGTGCTTTGGCACTCGTAGGCGCATTGGTTGCCTGACACCAGCTGGAACAACGAATTGTACCGGAATGCAGGAATCGGGGAGAGAAGAGAGAATGACATCAAGAGATGGACTTCGAAAAAACCATGAGAGACAGATCGAAAAGGAGCTTACTGAGAAAATGACCCGTGAAAACGGACAAGGACAGAACGGAAGCTGAATGAACGACAATTCAAGGCACGAGGACCGACAGACACAGGATTACATAAGCGTGACGTACTGCATACTATACCGGACGCCATCACCTGACATTGAACTTAAGGCAACTGCCTCACAATCAGGGACAGAATGACCAAAATAAACCTCCGTTGTGGTTCCTTCTCCGACTTCGACGGGGTCAACTCAAGTTGTGGGGACGTGCCGAGCACAGAGCACCCCAAAAGCCCAACATAAAACATCAGAACATTTCCTCAGATCATGTCCTGAAGTATGATGCTACACCCCCGGCCTTGGCACGTAGAAGCGCAATTTCCACCTGGCAAAGAGATTCATGCAGTCAGCACAGCCTCATGCAGGGGCCGCAAAGCTACATCTTGGAGCCCACCGCTGCACTGGAAGCCGCACTGCTCGCCCTGGCATTGCGCCGCGCACTCCTCCTGAGACGACACGTAAATTTGCAGGCACAGGAAGCACCTGAGAGCCCATCTTTTGCTGTCTCCTGACCGGCCAAAGTCCCGGCACCTCAGCTAGCAAAAAGCTCACTCCACTCGCTCTGCAGTGAGACTCCAGGCGGCCGGCACTTGAAGCCGCACTTGTCGCCCTTGCAGGCCTTCGCGCAGGTTGGTCCTGCAGTGCTGTCGGACAGCCTTCGCCTAAAATGACATGACCTCGAAACTTACAGGCGTGAGACCGGGTGTGGGTGGCTGCGAAATTTCTAGCTGCAATCGCAAGAATCTTCTCGAAGCCATGAGAACTCGACTGACTTGCGAGTGTGGAGCCTCCACACTTCTGATCGCTGGCCATAACCTGGCGCTTCTAGCATACTTTGCTCGGCATGGGATGCTGCGCATGCCGCATGCCAGGATCTCTGCTTCAAGCCCGGACCCGTCTTCCCAGTCAGGCCTTGCACTGAGGCTCGAAGATGGTGTAGCCATCCTCCAGAAAGTGTGAAGCATGCTTAGAATCCGTGCAATGACTAGGACGTTTTCGGTTTGGAAAAAACGAGAGCGAAGCTCGACAGTAAGATGATTGGCCTACCCCCCTCTCCGCAAAAGGCTACATTTAACTTAGAAGGCGAAGAGCAATCTCAAGCAATATAGAGGAAAAGAAGCCTCGGTAGACTAATCAAGACTAGACCCAGCCCAGGCCCAACGATATCTCTGCTGATGAAGGGGCGTTGCAGCTGGAGCAATGGTTGTCCTGCGGAGGAGCGAAAGCACATCATGGCACGGCATTCGAACGCGTGAGCTCATGCCGCTGCCTGGCACGATGCGAAGGTTTCTCGATTTCTTAGGGGTCTTTGCAATGCGGGCCTGCTATTGGGCCTATACTGAGGTCTTTTCCTTTCAGTTCTTTTCTGAAGCCCCTCCTGTTTTCGCTTTGGCTGGTCCACGCACGTCTTGCAGGAGGAACCAGTGCCCGCGTTACAGTCGAAAGCCTTGGCCATGCACGGGCAGCGGCACCGTCATGTTGCTGTGCACCCTGCGCTGAACATTAAACGACAAGATGCCGTACAGCTTCCAGAATAGAAGGGCTTGCCAACCTGCATCAGAGCAACATCCGTGAGCGTCTGTTTCAGAGAGGCTTTTGCAAATCCAAACCAACGACTGCTCCGTGCTTCCGTTCATCTGCACGACACCCCTTACGCTCTAGAGGGCGAGCCGGTGTGACAGACTGTGATAGACTGTGGCTCTTAAGCATTTGTGCGCACTATGCAAATCCGTCACATTGCTTGAAGTGCAGCGTCGACCTGTGCCGCGATGCTGCCCCAATAGCCTTGGTTTTTGGCTTTGGTGCGCTTGTTGGAGGCACAAGGCCCGAGCTGTAAGCTGCCCGGGGCTTCACCATGACTGGCATAAAAAAGAGCTTGCAGAATGTCCCGAAACTGGGTACTAGTAGAATCACTGGATCTCCACGCTCCGGCTGAACACCAGAGCGAATGGAACTGCCGGAACAAAGTGATTAAGTTGACACTGGTGCCACTTCAATGATTCGTGGTGCAAATCATAGATCATCCTTTCATGGGCCCAGTCGCCATCATTGCAGGTGCAGCCTTTCACGACGCTGTCGCCCGACGAGTGTGCCCTCGGAGGTCGGAGATGCAGCAGAACTGGCCGCTACAGTACTCTTCGCCATGACAGATTCCAGCTCAAACGTTTGTAAGCTCCAACTCGGAAGGCCGTAAGGACACCACGGGCAGGCAGCAGCTGCGCAGCTTCCCTTGAAGAAAGGCGACTGCCTAGGTCTGCTCACGTGGCTCCTGCGCCCTAAGACTTTTGCTTGTGGAAACTCAATTTTGCTCAGAACGACATAAGTGACATAAGTCATAAGCTTTTGCAAGCACCAAACTGTGCGAATGGGGAACGGTTTGCCACTACTTTGGCGGCGAAGGCATCTTGCATTGCATTGCGTCGCAGGTATTGCGACAGCACTGCAAAATCACAATCCTAACTCAGAAGGCTCCTTCTGCCATCTGCTGTGGACTGCCAAAGCGGTAGCCCAAGCAGGTAATCCACACGGAAAGGCCTGCAGCGGCCAAAGGACAGCGTGAGAAGTTGGGGAGAGAGAAAACGGAAAGCCCAGGCACCGAAACCCAGGACGAAGAGCAGCCCGGCCCTGTCTCCAGCACCTTAAACCAATCAGGCCGTACGACACGTCGGTTGTCGAAGCCGTTCTGTGCCCCGGCGCGCTAAGTTGGACTTTCGAGCCGAGCTTCCCTTGAAAGCTTCTGGCAGCATTGCCGTGGAGACCATGGCCAGCATGGCGCCACCTCAAGAAACTCACAGAGCTGAGAGTCTCTGAGAGAGTCTCGTGCCTGTCAGGCCCTCCATACAGGCCGTGACCTGTCGCGAGGATGGAGCTTCTTCTTTTGTGCTCAGCTCCTGCATCTCTTGCTACGTGTGTCTTCGCCGCCTGCCTGTGCGGCAGCTGTAAGAGTGGTTAAGATGGGTGGGTGTGCCGACAAAGAGAGGAGGGGTCACGCGCAACATGTCGGCAAGCCCAACTTCCACCTGACTTTGCCTATATTATCGCATCTACGACAGCTTCCTTCCGTAGTGACTCGTGCAAACCTCACAAAGAGGAGCAAGCCAACCGCAAGGGCTTTGCGAGACAGGAGCCAACCGATCGAAGGGGACAAGCGAATTTTAGCCAAGAAAATCGAGACTGCTAGACTCCTAGACAAGGACTAGAGACGAGGAGCCGCTCGAAACTCACGAGAGCCTGAGAAACAGTACCAAACCATGTTCAGAAGTGACGAGAGAATTTGAGAAATGGCGGCAGCAAGCCGAAAGAAAGAACTGACATGGTAGGTTTTGAAGAAAGTCCAGACGTGCTGGAAGGTTCGAGAAAGAGGAGAAACGATCTCGAAAGTAAAGGACCTCAAAACATCGCTCGAAATGCAGGAGACAATATGCAGGAAAACAGCTCCAAACTGAGGCATGTGAGACCGAGGACTCGAAAGGAGTAGAGTTTTTTCATAAATCCCCTCGGAGATTGGAAAGGAGCCGGAGGCCGGTCGAAAGGCACCAGGAAGCCACGGGAAACGGACCAGAGCCGAACAAGCAAAAACCACTCGGAAAAGATTAGGAAACTTGAGAAGGCATAGACCAGTAGCAGACTCGAAAGGAACTGGTACTGGAGAAAGCCGAGCGAGCTGCTCGATCTGTGTCTGTGTTTGTCTGTGTGTGTGCGCGCGTGTGCGTGTGCGTGTGCACACACACACACACACGTAGCAGGGCTGGAAATGCTCATGTGCTCGTGGCATTCACCCGATGCGAGCCTTGTCACGCTTCTGCGCCAAGTCAGATCCCCGCTCCTTAGTTGCGAGCTTTTGAAATCATGGAGAAACGGGCATGCCGGGTTCGATGCAACGAGGTGTGCCTTATACTTAGGATTCAATGAATGGTTTCATCGGATGTCGTAACCTGACATTTTTTCAGGATGCAGAGCAGACGTTTGAAGGAGTGGGGATCTCGGATACGGGAGATGACGCGAAATCGCCCCGCAGCCCGCAAGCACCGAGCGTTCACGAGTGTCGCGTTTGTCCTGAATTGCCAGTTCATGGGCAAGTCCCCACCAGGCGCGTCGCTCAGGGGCAGTTCCACACGAGGCTTGTCCGGCAAGGGGCGATTTGAATGCCCACAAGCTCTGGGCCTCTGGGCGCGCGATTTGCACCCGAGTGTCAGGAGGGTCCTGGAACGGAACGTGGCAGGCTGAGACGGGATGTCACACGAGGCGTATCTTGACACGTGGTGGCAAGGTCCTGCAAGGCGGCATGGGATCCTACTGCAAGAATTTCCAGATGTAGGGTGCAGTAATTTTCCGAAAGTCCCGCATGATCAACTGGCATCCAAAATCGAAGCATCAATCATGATACATCTGGATCTTCATCATGACCATCACCAGTAACGGCAGCAGCTTGCCGGAAACAATTCCAGACAGGCAATGCACGTAAGAATCACGTTGACGGTTGCAAACATGTCTGCCTTGTAATTGTGGTCGTGCAGGACCAAGTCGCTACCAAACGAAACTGGATCCGACAGTTGGTTGACTTGAAATGGCAGCACCTACATTAGATGCAGTTCTGCCGGTTGTAGAACTTCTCAACATGACATGAGACTAGTTTGACCTTGGCTTGACTGCGCCCATATGAGAAAAATCTTCTGATGCCAACGGGTATGATAGGAGATGATGTGCTGGATAGACACGGCGGCCGCTACGATGCACGGCTACACACCAAAAGAGCAATGCATAAGAAGCATCGGCGAACCCACAACTCCAGAATCAACAAGATCAACCAAGTGTGCCAACTCATCTCTTGCTGAGACCTCTAGATCCGAAGCTCGGACCGTTGCATTGCAAACCAAACAGCAGAACTCCAGATTCTTCTGAACTGTTGATGTCAGCGGCGACATTGGCAGGCATGATGAGTGATCCGATCATTGCCAGCAGCCCAGTCAGAGAAAAAAGAATCATCCACATCGCCATGATCCTGCATGCCATGCACGGAATCGTGAAGCTGGATACAATTACAATAAAATCATTACGAGATATTATACGTCCGCGCATTGAAGGGGGAACCCTCCTAACTTGCACAACGAACCATACGTTTGCAATTGTTTACAGTAGCTGTCTTGACAAGACCAAACACGAGACACGGGAGCCAAGTGGGAAACAAGCAAAACAAGGGAGAAACCTCCAGCCACGATATCAAACAGAAGGAGACACGCAGGGACAAAGGCTACGAAAAATACAGGCTCCACCTCCACATCAAGAGATACAAGTTGCAAAACCAGGCGACATGCGGAGGAAGAAGCCTTGGTAAACTTCCGACGTGGATGGCGCCCCGATGCCCGACGAGGAGTCGGGAGGCAAGGCGGAACTTGTATATCAACTTGAAACATCGGATCTGTATTTGGTTTGGAGGGGCTTGAAGCGGATCGCTGCAGGAATCCAGGACTTGGGATCCTCCAGACGCTCATGCGCTGCCCCAGCAGAAGGCTGGCACCACTAAAGGCTTCTGGGAAGTTGGCGATGAAGATCGCTACCAGGAAGGAGAACGTCACAGCACCCTCGTTGGTCATGAATCCCAGCCTCAAAATAGCAACGGTTTTACGAAAACTGGTCACCGACGCACTGTTGATGAAACGAATGACCATGAAGAATACATGAGGAGGACTGATGATGAGGATGGAGATCGATGTGACCATGATGACAAGCCGAATGATAATGAATGACAGGGTCATCGTCATCGCCACCGTTGCCAGAGCTATCGGTGCGGCAGTTCTGCACGAATGGTTAACTTTACGAGATACGTGTGCTACAAACGAACGCAAGCTCAGCAGAATACTGGCCGCCGGGTGGCATAAGGGCCTCTGGAATGCCGTCCTGGACAGGTGTGGATGACTCTTCAACCCGTCTACCAGTAGAATGGGATTGCAATGTAGGAATCTGATCAACAAGCCTTTAGTTCCAAAGCGGGATCCTTAAGGCTTAAGAACCCCATTGAGAACATTTGAGAACAAGGAGTTTCTGAAGCATTTTCTTACTATAGCCGAGAGTGCAAGCAGAGCGTCGAGCATCATGCCCAACCACATGGACAAGGCCACATTGCCAGAGCTTGTGCTCACCTGCAAACAGTGCTTCACGGACGCACTCAGACTGATCCCGCGTGTCCGTCACGGATGTGTCCGGGAGACGCACCTCTCCGGCGTCGTCTTCGTGGAAAGTGGAGGCCCTCCGCAGCGACGACAACCTCGGCACTGGCACTTTTGTGATAGACTTCCCCTAAATTGCGTGCGCCGCGCTTCCTCGCTCTCTTCGCCTCTTCTCTTGCCCGGCTGCGCGGCGATGGGCGGTAGCGGGCGTGCTTCTGGGACCGTCTCAATGCCGCCGACACCGAGCTCCAGGCCTCAGCTTGGCTGCTCTTCTTGCATCCTGCCCCGTTGGCTCCCGGACTCCGCCTGAACGCTTACGCCCGTCCTATGAGTCCGAATTCCAAGAATCTGATCTCCAAGTACAGCTGGGCCACTCCGCAGGCTTCGGGTGTCGCACTGGGCCGTTTGCTGCTGCTGCTGCTGCTCAGGTTTGCCAAGGTTCTCCTGCCATGCGCAACTGTTGAACCATCCCAGGCTTCGGCGTGTGAAGCCAAGTGCGAGATTGAGCTATCAATGGTACGTCCATGTATGGAGCGTCTCCAGCCACCGATTCAGGGCGAGGTAAAGGCAAGCTCCAATCATAGCGCAGATGATCCTCAGGCTTCCACGCAGATGCAAAGCCAGCTGTACGAGTCGTTACCATGCTTGTGCCTTCTGCTCTGCGGGCACCGCCGCCTAGCCACAAGGCCAATCCCCAGCACCACACCTGTCTGCCAAGTCTCTGCAGCACGACGTTGGTGCACCGCTCCTCACGAACGATGTCAAGTCTCAAGAGTGCAATCTCGCTTTGGAGGCGACAATGACTAGTGACTATCATTGACTTGAAGGGGTTTACTTGAAGGGCTTTTGCAGGATGTTGACAATGTCTAATAATGTCTATGTCGAAGCTTCTCTCTGAACTTCCGTGCCTTGCAGGCCGGACCGCAGCCTGGGTGCGGACCATACCTTGGAGACATGCTCCTAACACCACAAGAGTTGGACATGTGACGGCTTTCGGGGACCTGACGTGGAGGCAGCCAGCCGGAAGAGCGACTCGCCGTAGAGCTGTGTGGCCTGAAGATGTAGAGATGTCGGTCTTTGCATGAAGTAGTGGATCCTCTAAGCCGGACCGGGCTGGTGTTGAAGCCACTCGGAGAAGAGTGTGTACAAGATGCAGGTGAAAGTCGAGGGCTACCCTCTTCCATGCCATGCGCACATGCTCTGCCAGCTGGCCAAGTTGCCACAGCAAAAACGAGCGCTCCTGATCCAAATGCCATCCTAGGCGGCAGAAACCCTGCATCAAGCCCACAATGGTGCGTTGCCGAATATCATTGCTGCTTTTTCGATGCTTTTCGAGACACAGTCGCATTCACTGTTCTGACTCGCAGGCGACCAAAAAATCAAAATGATCTCTGGCCAGCAGCCATCTGGCAGTGACTTTGCTTGAGACCTCACTGACACCAAGGAGCGGACCGCAACGAATCTACCAATGGACACTGTGAGACACGTTGCAGAGGCTTGTTTGCCGACACACAGATTGCAGAACTGGCAAAAAAGCAGAAAGGCTACTGGACAGGATTACACTACAAAAACTCAGACACTACACTCTCCTGAAGCTCCGGGGCTCCTGCCGGTGCCAAGGCGATGCCCAGCAAAGCACCGAGTGGCAGCGAGAGCCTTCGGACTGGAAAGCCCCCACGGCTTCGTGCTTGGAACAAAACCAACCCGACGAAGAATCAACCAGAAACCCTAAACGGTTCAGTATGAATATACTGTACTCCCCGATCGTCACTTGCCTTTCTAAAGGGCTCTCAGCGCTCCAGCCCATTCGCAAAACGAGCAACATGATTCCCAAAATCGGCAACACACCCGTCTAAGCAAGCTCGGTATCTGCTGATCCCATAGGGCTAGCATCCTGCTCCCGAACACACCTTCGATGACCTTATAGTCTCGATGCTCCGAGAATCGCAGAGAAGAGCCCGAACAGCAGCGCTTGCAGCCACAGGGACGCCGCCATGATTGTGCAGGCAGCTTCGGCAGCTGTTTCTTGCAAATGCGCACTGTGTGCAACTGCCTTCTATAATCTCTCGCAGCAGCGATCGGAATGAGGAAGCCGGATGATTCTTTCAATTGTCGCACTCATGAGGGTGCTTGCTTGATGTTAAAACTATCTTCGGCGGTCCTCGCGGTACATGCATGTAGGATGATTCGGCATTGTCCTGTCGTCCGACAATGGCTACTGATCTAAGTTGGATGCATGAGTTGAGAGATTTCGTCAGCCTGAGAACCAAGCAGGAGCATCGCATGGGAAGGAGTCAGGATGGGAACCGCTCTGAACCTGAAGCAGGTGGGTACCTGAAGCGCATAACGTCGGGAACTCCAAATCATCTACATTCCAAGTGGAACTTCCTCATACCCGCATTGACACATACTCTTGGCCCAGCTGCGAAGACGCCGTGATCTTGCCCGCCTTGGATGCGCGGCCAGGCTTTTTTCGTCACAAGTTTCATTTGGCCAATTAGCAGCGCTGAGACTGAGACTTCCTGATCTTTGGTTGAATTCCGTTGAACCCCGGCCAAAACTCCGCGCCAAGTTGCGTAACCGGCATTGCACACGCAGCCGCTCGGCACGTTGCTTCCTGTGCAGGCTCGTGGGCAAAAGCGCCCTCTAGTCCGCACAAGACGTACAACAGTGTGAGGCTACTGTACAGGGGCGGCCGTTCTTGCTGGTAAAGGCAGGCCGTGTGGCTTGCCTGTTGAGTGAGCAGGGCATGCTACAGGCTGACAGCTGCCGCTGTAGAAAGGCGCCGCAGAGGTGGCCGAGATGGTGCCGGAGTAGCCGGCATGACCTGGTCCAAAACCAATTACGCTGTAAGAGTTTAGGGCTTGGGGCAACAATGACAAGGACCAACATGATAGCCGGGCTGCTTACAACCCCGCCCCATCTCGTTTTTGTCGAGAGTCACTTGCAGCCCCTGGGCACCGTTCCCGTGGAGTGGGCCGGGCACTCGACCTCACGAAGAGGCAGCATGGGACCGAAGGCCTTTGACGGAGTAAAGCCGCTTGCTGCCGGACTACCGGTCGGCAGGCTCCCGTGTAGAAAGGAGAAGCGCTGGATGCCGTGATGGTGCCAGAATAGCCTCAGTTCAAGGAGGTAAAAGGACGGTAATGGACGGATAGCACAGACAGCCTGTCACAACCTGCGAAAGCACACTCGGAAGCTCCGAAGGAGCCTGCGTCACAGGTGCAGCCGGAGGCGACATCCTCTCTTCAAAGGTCTGAAGCTTCTTGGGAGCTTCTTCGGGGTAGCGGAATCCGGAGACCGAGCGACTCCAGTGAGGGGGTAGCTTCGGGATGTACTTCGGACTTCGGGGTCTTCCAAGACAAGAGCCACTGCCAACAGAAGTCCTTGCCCGTGGAGAAGGCGGGGCAGGCCACAGCCTCGCAGGTGCTGTGGTAGAACCTGAGAGCCACAGCATAGAACATCTCGAGGTCTTGACTGCTTGCCCTGACATTTGGCTAGAGAAGCAAAGGTCATGGGATGGCGGAAGCAACTGGAGGAGTCTGCAGATCTTCAAAGAGAAGCTACAAGACGCAGAACTGTGCCGCGGATTGGATCGGTACCATGTCCGCAGCAGCGCAAAGCATCTGGAACCCTACAGATCCCAATGCCTAAATCCTGCATTCCATTGCCGGCTGGGCCGCGGTGCACTTTTGGTGGCTGTGACTTTGCCGGAGAAGCCAGCATCGCAAGCACAGCCCTTGACGACCTGGTACAGGAGTCAGTGGTTTAGGGGTTTGGGGTCTGTGGTGTTTCGAAGCTTCGTGACTCGGCCGTTTGGGAGTTTATATGGCTTGGGGTTTGCAAAAGAGCCGCGTAACGTACTCTACTCACCAAGGTTGCTTTGAGTGCCGCCAGAAAGCCCCGCATATCATCACGCACGCGAAACAGGCAAGCAGGCGAAAACGCAAAGGGCGGGCTTCGTTGGGACACGCTTGCTTAAAATTTCGGGAATCCCTCTTCCTGCTCCCAGCCCGATGAAACTCCGGTCACTGATTAAGCTTGCCGGGGGCGCGTTGCGTCCACTGGACTTCGCCGGGCAGTCCACGTGCTGCGAGGGTGTGTTCAATCAAAGGCTTCCAAATCTTCCTATGATTCGCAAACTAAAACACATGTCCGCAGCTCGGGCGTCGATGCTTTGCAAATGGCTGCTAGTAGCCGGGAAGCCACCAGGCGAAGCGATGCGAAGCGTTGCCCCCTGCCTTGCATTCGCCGGTAAAGTAGGGCGAGCTCGTCGCAGTGGAGATGCTCCCACTGTACCCTGCGACCACGATGCTTGGATGTGATTCTGGAGTAAAGGGGCTTCAAAGCCATTAACACGGTGGTTTTGCAGCCCTGAGGGCAAACGCACTGTCAGCCATGAACCACGGCTTTTGGTGCTTTTGGTGTGGACGAACTCTGTACTTGCATGCTTGCTGTCATGCGATGCGCTTCGACCGATGGGCCATTCCTAGGAAAGGCCTCCCATCAACCCCATTACGGATCAACAGGACGATGCAAATCCAAGTTCTGCAGGCATCACATCGTTCAGGATATAGCACCCCACCCCATTCCCTTCTGCCTGCTTTGCAGGTGCATCCATCTGGAATTGAGGTTCCGGTGGAACGTGCAGGGCAAGCCACGGCTTCGCAGCTGCCGGAGTAGAAGGGAGCCTCTCATGCAAAGCCGGCTCAACAAAAGCCATGCAACGAATGTAACGACAACCTGACTTTCAAAGCCACTGCGGTCCTTCGTTGTGGCTTCAATTGTCCTGCCAGGCGCTGTGGGAGCAACAACGCCGCATCTTGGATTCCACCCCGACGTATGTTGCATTGTGTTGCCATTAACGTGGCCAAGGCCTCAACTCAACCGCGACACAACTCAGTGACCCCACGGCAAAGCAATGCGGCGGACCCCTGATAGCCACCGTTGCACGCGCAGCCCCTCGGCACATCCTGGGAGGCGGCAAGCGGGCAGCAGTGCTCTCAGAGAACGTCTGCAAAAGCGCGTGCAAGAAAAGAATGAATCGAAACTGCCTTCTTGGAAGCATCTACCAACGAATCTTCTGTCGAGAGTCCTTGCCCGTGGACTTCGCCGGGCATGCCACCGCATCGCAGCAAGCGGCCTCTGAGGCACGAGCTCAAAACCTTGATTAACTGAAACCCTAAACCCCATGAAACCCTATCATCCCTGCACGCTTGCATACGCTTGCATCGGTGCTTGCTTGCCCGTCTGCCCTCCGAGTCTGAGTAACTATTCTTAACCGACCAGATGAGCTCTTCTACGCGGTTCTGACCTGGTTCTCTATCATGAAGTAAATTGGTAAACGACAACTCCCGCCAGCCCCACAGAGATGGCTTTCGTGACGTATGTTGATACTGAAGAGGGCTCCTCGGGTTAATGACGACCATGACGAAGAGGATGAGGATGATGATGATGATGATGATGATGATGATGCTGATGATGATGCTGATGGTGATGGTGATGGTGATGGTGGTGGCGTCGTGTGGTGGGTGATGTGTCATGTGAGTGATGCGAGTGATGTGGGTGGCGCGGCTGGCGTGAGTGGTGCCGATGGCGTGGGCAGTGTATGGTGGGGTGGTGGAGCGGCGGGGTTGGTGAGAGTGGCGGCGGCGACGGGTCTGGTGTCATTGTGATAGTCATGTGGCACGAAGATGTTGTCTGTGGCCTGTAGGCATTACCTCAGCCGGGTGGCCAGGTCGTTTCCGACGGTGCTGCCGGCTTTGGGCTGGTAGCCCTTGGGGCAGCTGAAGAGGCCTCGACAAGACACGGCAGATGCGAAGACACGATGCCTATGCGCCGGGCCACTCAGAAATGCCCTTTCGGCAATTGTCGTTCAGCTAGAATCCTAGAATCTAGAAGCAGGTGCTTCAAAGTGGCTGCAGGTGGCAACACACGAGCCGGAGTAGAACGGCGAGCCTGACAAGATCGGGCTCAGAGAAGACATGCAGAAATATGCAGAAAGCAAAAACATGCAAAAACCGTCAGAAGGGCTTGATTAGCAAGCTTCGTGCAACCGCCACATCTGCACATGTATCATAGCTTTACTTTGGTTTGAACTGGGCTTTACCCCTTGCGGCTGTGGGGCTGCTGGCCGCACTGATGCTGCCGACATAGCCAGCATTGCAGGTGCATCCGGACGGAACCTGCCATAGCCGACTTCTGCCCCGTGCTTGCGCCAAGCTATCTGCATCACAGCAGCGTTGCTGCCCTTGGAGTTGGCTGGGCAGCTCACCTGGGCAACTTGGATACGTTACAGTAAGCCGGCCCGAGCGAAGACAATTGGTCGAGGCACGGCTGTGCAGCCACCGCTGTAGAAGGGCGAGGTCTTCCTCGGCTGTCTGATTTCGGTGCTTATCTTGGGATCTTTGTGTCTTGTGAAGCCTGTCACCTTTGCCTTGAGCCACGACTCTTTGCTGCTCATGTGTCCCGGGGACTCTATGGGTTCTCAATATATTCATGTCGACTAAGACTCGCCACAATAGACACATGGACAAGTCGAGAGGCACTGCCGTGACACTCCCGGAGTAGCCAGCATCGCAGGTGCAGCCACTGGGAAGGTCTGTGCCTCGTTCGCGTCCCAAGAAAGCTGTTGACTGCACGTTCGGCTGCCTTTGTTGAATTGCGACCGCGCTTAGCTCGAAGACCAGTCGCCGGAAGAGCCCGCAGGGCAGGCTTGCGCTTCGCACTTGCCGGTGTACCAGGGCCTGTGATGGAGCAAATCGGATCCAGAAGGAAAGGAGCTCAAACCGGGAGAGGGAAAGCGAGAGCGAGAGAGAGAGAGAGACAGAGAGTGAGCGAGTGAGTGAGCGAGTGAGTGAGTGAGTGAGTCTCATGAAGTTAGCCGCCTCGAATCATCGCCCTCGATTTCTCCGGAAAAGCCTTGCAGGTAACGCAGGTTGATCTTCGAGAATGCAAACCAAGACTGGCACTGGCTGCCAAGAATCAAGAACATCTCTGCTCAAGGACACTGCAAAGACACTGCTCTAAACGATTTGCAAGCTCGTCGCATGTTGAAACAACAAGAAGTCTGTCCTACGTGCTCCGTTCCGGGTGGGTGTGCAACTGACAACTTGGAACCTTGCCTGCGAGGCAGTCGCATCCCCCAGGCACATTGTTGCCTGGCCATGGTTTTGCACGGGGCTAACAAGTACAAGCCGAGCCACGCGAGCATCGGAGCAAGAACAGCTCCTGTACTGTAGAGCACAACACAGTCCTTGAACTACTTCGTTCGCCATCCAAGGCCTTCGGTATTGTCGGGGCAGCCCACTGGTGTGCATTTGCCGGTGAAGAACGGCGAAGCCTCTTGTTTATCCAGCCAGACGTAGTGTCAAAGATCAAGTCTGAGTGAGTGCTGTAGCATCGCCAGTCACAAGGGCTCGGGATCTCATTGATAACTCATGGGGCCCCATTGCTGGCAGAGCAGCCGTCGCGGCTTTGATCTGACCCTTGTAGCCTCGGCTGTGCAACTTACAAACCATGTTGAACTGCACCTCACAACATCCAGCTATACTAAATACAGATGTCCTGTCCTACGCAAAAGCTGAAGCTCGTCCACGCGGTTTGCTCCTAAGACTTCCGGTAAACATCAATGAACTCCACAAGTTGGACCGGACAGGAAGAAAGCTTATTCACATTTCATGTGAAGTTACCGCGAACATCGAGAAACACAAATGGATGACAGCCCCGTTCTTCATTCCATAGAGGGAAGCACCCAGCTGCAAAAAAGGAGCCGTTCTTGCATTTGCAGCCGCTAGGAACGTCAGCTCCTGGCTTAAGCACGCTGGAGGCGGAACTGAGTCAAATCGGCATAGATTCATGTTGCACCAATCTACTGCAGAGCTGTCTGCAGTCTCTGCAGTCCTGTGGAGTGCTTGGGGCACGCGACTGCCTCGCACTTGCCGCTGTAGAACGGGCTTGATGCAGCCTGGGGAGTGGTCAGCATGGCTCCCTCAAAGCCGATCAAGCAGGTCTCAACATGGTCCGGACAGGGAGGTCCATTATCTGAATGAAAACGGTGAGAAGTGACAAGGACAGCTGCCGCCCCAAGATCTCTCACACCTAAACATGCGGCACTTCCGGGCAAAATGCTCACATACATGGCTTCAATCCTCCACAACTTGTTGAGGCCAGGCACTGCCGTGATGGATCCCTTGAACCTCAGAGACTTTCTCTGAGCTTCGAAGCTGCGACCAGGCGCTTTGAGACTAAAGGCTTACCAGAACCACGCCCTTCGTCAGGAGCCGGAGTGCTCATTGAAGGGCTCTGTTGGCTCTTGGCTTGTGGCTACGGAGCGGAAGACTGCAAATCCGATATCTGCTTCAGCATCGCCATTATTGCGGGGTTGGAGACAAGTTGTGCTTGGTGAGCCTGGAACACCAACGGCACAAGCTGCCAGAACACCGCATCCCCGAAACGAAGACTCAAGATGTGAATTCCCACAACCGAAGTTCAACGAAGTATCGGATCGGGACGGGGGAGGTGGGTGCTTGGGACCCGGCCCGTGCCTGTAGCGACACGAGCCGTCTACGCAAAATGCGCTGTCTGGGCAGGCACAGAGCACTGACCAATCTACGACATGGTATGCTGTAGAGATCGTTCCAGCCGAATCAGCCTCTCAGCCCCGACACCTACTCAGCGACATTTCGGGACTTTACACTTTATGCCGAGACTAACTCGGAGAACCCTCGGCCCAGTCGCCCGGCGTCGCAGGCGCAGCCCGCAGGTACGTTGCTGCCGGAAGAGTGAGCAGGGCAGTCCACGGCCGCGCATTTGCCCGTGTAGAATGGCGACCTCGCAGTGAGAGCTCCCGGAATGCTGACGAGAATCCGGCGTTGCGTTGTAGGCATGCCACGATAGCGGATACATGGATCCGAGATGCGTCGCCGATGACTTGATCTTGCCGGAGAAGCCAACATTGCAGCTGCAGCCGCTGGGCACGTCCTGTGGGCTGCAGAGCGAAGTCCATCTACATCCAAATGATCACAGTGATGGTGGTAATTTTCACGGTGATGGCGACAAGAAGGTGGTGGAGGAGGAGGAGGAGGACGAGGAGGCGGAGGAGGACACAGAAGAGAACGATTAGGAGGATCACTCAACTCTGGCAGCATCAGCAACATCGCGCGATGCCTTGCCCGAAGAGTCTGCTGGACACGCGACCGCTGCGCAGGATCCCGTGTAAAAAGGGGACGCCTTGCTGGCCTTGCACGGCACAAAACCATCAACAAACAGACGGTGAATGGCTCAGACATCAAGACCTTCTTCTGGAATCGAATCTCCTAGTGCAACATGATGCAACACAAAGCCTTGATGGCGCCGGAATAGCCAGCGTTGCAGGTGCAGCCCGATGGCACCTGCGGCTCATGGAATCTTTTGGAGAAAGCCTTTGAAAAAGACTGACTGGCCGAGTAGCGTGAGCCCCTTCAGAGTTGTCGGGGCACGCCACAGTTGAGCACGTCCTGAGTGGGCTGAGGTGGGACGGTGGGACGGTGCTTAATCTCGCAGTGCAATCTCTGTCAAGGCCTCCAGATCCTCCAGGTTCTGATCTAACAGCCCAGACCCTGTACTCACTCAGCCCGCGATGACTCTGACCCAGCAGGGCAACATCGTGCAATCGAATTCTTCGCCCCAAGACCTGGCTTGGGGGCCTGACCCGGAGAAATACGGAGCGGAGCTTGTTGCACCTTCAAGAGTCAGAGGCTGCATTCGGGGGGAACGTTGAATTCGCCACGCACTCCATGTTGGCCCACTCTGCATGGGTGAGGCATCAAGAAACCATGTTAAATACAAATCAAGCAATATTTTGGTGATCAAAAACTATTTCATAAGCAATGGGCTCAATGGGGTAAAACGCGTTCCAGGTGGAGGGTTTGGTTAAAAGAAGGTCGGTTTGCGTCACGCCGTTTCGCGGCAAGGAATTCGGGAACTGCAATGTGCGGGGTTTTCCTTTGCAGCAATCTTGATTTGTGTCAAGCTGGTATGATTGGGCTCATGAGAGAATGTCCATTGACGGCACACCGCTCTTGAAGCAACTCAAAACTCAAAAGCAACGGAGGCGGGTTGGGCGGACCCCCCATTTGCAACCACAATGCTCGCATGATTGGGCCCTTGAAAGCTTCGTGAAGGAATGTCCATCGACGGCATGCCATTCTTCGAGGCAAGGTCCATGGTTTCAATTTGAAAAAGAGCGGGGAGGTTAAGGGGGGCGCAACCACCCCGCTTTGACAACCCCCCATTTGCAAGCAGAATGCTCGTAGAAGGCTGCTGGTTGGAATGTCCATTGATGGCACGCCATTCTTCGAAGCAGGCTCGCTCGGCTCAAAGGAGTGGGCGAGCTGGAGGGGCGCAGCCCCCGGCATTTGCAAACACACTGCTCGCATGATTGGTCTCTTGGAAAGGCTTCATGACGGAATGTCCTCCATGGCTTAAAACTTAAAAAAATTGGACGGGTTAGGGGTTGCAGACCCCGACAATTTGCAACCACAATGCTCGCATGATTGGGCTCATGAGAGAATGTCCAGTGGCGGCTTGCCGTTCCTTTTCCGCAAGTTCGCATGGCTCAAAATCCTAAAAGAATGGGGAGGGGAGGGGGTCGGGTGGCCGCAGCACCAACTGGCAACCACAATGCTTGCAAGATTGTGCTGCTTGAAAGCTTCATGGCACGCCATTCTTTGAAGCTTGGGATATTGCTTTGCGTCCAGGTATTGGGGAATTTCATGTTTATGGGTTTTGATTTGCGCACGCAATTGGGTGATTGCAGTTCCCAGGCCGGTGTTCAGCGGCAAACTCTGGGTGAATTGAAATTTGTGAGGTTTTGCTTTGCAGCAAGCTGTTTAGGAATTCCAATGTGCAGGGTCCCTATTTGCGCCAAGCTACTGGAGGATTACAATTCCGAGGCTTTTGTCTTGCATCATGCTCTAAGTAATTCCGATTTGCAGGATCTTGATTTTCGCCACGTTATGGGGGGAATCACAATTCATTTCTCTCTTTCTCTCTTTCTTTATTCAGTTCTTTCTGTTGTTGCGTGATTCTTTGTTGATTTATTTAGTTGTTATTTCGTTCTTACTTTCTTGGTTCTTTCTTTCTGTCCTCCTCTCCACATTTTGCTCGGAATAGTTTTTGTTTGATTCATGGGCCAGGTGTCTGTGCTTCGTGACGTTTCTTCTCTCCTGCTCTCTATTTTGCTTATATAAAATACGAATACTGTTTAAGATTTCTGGAAAATGATGTCTGACATAGTTTCTTGATGTCTGAATAGGTTATTTAACCTCTATCCCCTCTGCAGGGAGATACAGTACAGGATTGGCCTCTCTTACTAGTAAGTATCGAGGCCCCGGCTGATGGTGCCGGAGTGGCCGGCGTCGCAGCTGCAACCGCTGTGCACGGCAGTGCCGGAGGATCCTCGCTTGGATATAACATCCTCCGGTCAACACACATGAGGACCGTCCTGCAGGGCAATCCACTGGCTCGCAGCAGCCGCTGAGAGAGTTCGCCACTGTTGTGATGGCTTTGGGCTTGTAGCCTCGCGCGGTCTTCTTCCACTCCAACCTTGCTGCACCCTCCACCGGTTGACATGGCCTTTGGGGCAGGTGAAGAGCGCACAGGTCTCAACGCAGGTGCCGCTGTAGAACGGAGAAGAGCTCGTAGCGGTGATTTTGCCCGAGTAGCCTGGCGAAGAGAGGCCCTGGTCATGTCAAAACAGCTGCCGCCGCTGCCGTGCCGTGCCGGGTCGTGCCTGCTTTGCACGCGCAGCCACTCGGCACGTTGCTGCCCTCGGAGTTGTCCGGGCAATCCACAGCAGCGCAGCTGCCTGCTGCTTTAACACGAGGCAAGCAGCGAATATCGCGCGTCAAGGAGAGATCACGAGAAGGGACACTGTGAAACAAAGGCTCCAAACTGAATCTGGACCTTGCAGCACTGCATGCGCCTGTGTAGAATGGAGACTTGCCGCTGACAGCAATGGAGCCAGTGTAGCCTGCAAGTGTAAGTTGAGGACACACTCCTACTGCCGTGGCACCCGTTTCCAGCACAAAGTTCGTCCATGCCCATCTCAGCCTCAGAGCAATCCCTCAGACTGCATGATCTCTACTGATGACGACTCGCTTGGCCCCCGCCTGCGGAGCATGTGCAGCCACCTGCAGAGATCTGCAAGCTGCAAGCTGCTTGGTCCCCTCCAAATATCAATGCTTGGCCATCAACGACCCTGTGTCCCGAGTCCTCTCTCTGTCGCTCTATCCAGATCCTAACTAGAGTCGTGTCCGGGACGCTTGGAACGTCTGTGCCAGTGGAGCCAGCTGGACAGGCTGCTGGCGTACAGCAACCATCCTGGCCAAGCAGGCTGTAGAGTGGCATTAGCGGGTGTGCACCCATGGTTCGGGCATGCCCATCAAGGGTGCAAATTATTTGCCAGGGCATGCATCACCGTCTGTCTGAGCCGCCAACCACACTGGAACCGATGGTTGTCAGAGGCTTGGAATGATAACCTTGCAGATCAGCTTGGGGGCACTGTGACCAAAGAAGCCGAAAGAAAGACGCCAGGGCGAGACATGTTCAACACTCAGCTGGAGAGTGGTAAAAGGAAAACTGAATTACATTTGCTTGGCACCTTCACTGAAACCTTTCGTTGAGCTTTCCATCCTTTCAGGAGGACGTGGAGAGGGTCCAGCAGCCAAGTCTCCATCCGGGCATCCTGCGAAGCTACTGCATCGCTCCTTGGATTGTGGCGGGTCTGCTGGAGCTCCGGCTTCGTGGGGCTGCAAGATGTCGGTGAACGGAAAGGCTAACCTGCTCTAAAATCCCGAAAGCGGCTTGACACCAACTGCTGCCCATGTTCCATGGAGCAGATAGCGTGGACCTTCCAGGCTTCGGCTGTGTATCTTGCTGCTATTTCTCCACGCTTCACAATGGCTTCACATACCGGGGAGACTGTCCAACGGAGCAATCTGTGTTTGCGAGCGCCCACCAGCCTTGATTCTGTGTCCACCGCCAGGAGAGAAGCCTCAGGCCCAGCAAGGCATTGGTACCACCAAAGACCAAGGACGAAAGGGTTGGAGGGGGGGGCGCGGGCAAGAAAGTGCCGCTGAAGGTCAAAAAAGATTCTCTGCTGGGTGTGGCCTTTGTCTGCGTGAGCTTTGTGCCAAGGCGCGCTTGCACTTCCCGCGGATCGGCTTGAACGTGGCGGCCCAGCCATTGTTGTTTGGACCCGCCTCCAAACGCATTGCCAAGACTTCAGATCGCCCTTGCAGTCAGTAATTGTCGAGTTCCGTGTCCATGCTCGCGAATCGTGCATGGCTTCTTCAGGCTCTATATCAGGGTCGAGGAGTCGAGGCAGTCGTCAGGACAGATTTGAGAAAAGGTCATGCAACCGGCAACTGTCCAAGTATCGAGTTTGAAGAAGCTCAGGAGGCTACCAAAAAGGCTCGACAGGGGCCAACAGCTGGGAAGTCCTTGGGTTGGCTACTGGCCTGTTTTGCACCTGGGCCGACCTGTCAATGCACCCTGCACCGGCCTTGCAGTAATCGTTGACTCGCCATGCCTGGGATTTGAACTCCGAGTTTGAGTTTGCCACAACTGGCGACATGCGACATCAGCTTCGCGGCTCGGGACCGCCATGCGGTAACCGCGAGAAAAGCCCCGAACCCCACCAAGGCCCTAAGCTCCAAAGCGGCTGAGCTCACAAGGCACACAGAATATAAACCAAAGAACAGACCAGCAGGTGCAGCTGACCGCATCACCCTTGCTGCATCCAACCTTCAACGCGGGAGGGTGGAAGGGGGAAGCTTCTAAGCTGGTCGTGCCCCAGCCGGTCCTGGCTGGAAGCGCCTCAAGCGAGCCCGACTCTCGTTCATCTGAAAAGTGCTCAAAGTCTGTCTACGATGCTCAAATCCCGGGAAGCTTGGTACTTGCGAACTTCCAGTGTTCTTCTGTCATCAGTTCTAGCTTCCGAGCACCGCAGCCTCGACCCAGCCCTTCTTCCATCGACTGCCGCTGTCCTCAGCAGATCCGATTTCACCAGTCTGGTAAGTACTTCCAGCTTCCTGCTGCGAACTCTGGTCTCGAAGTGAAGTCTGAAGACCAAACTACGGTGGAGGTGGTACCATCAATCGACCTTTGAGAAACTTACCTTTTGACAATCCACCCATATCCACCCTGTCAGGCAGAGGCGACACCACAGATTGACAGCTAAGTCGATATCTTTGGCCATGTCTCTGCAATGACCGTCTCGGTGGTACTGCAGTGGGCTTTGCTCTTCAGCTTGACGCCCGTGGTGGTAATCGCCTTCCACACAACGGCCACATGTCTCGCATGTACCTTCCACCGGATCTACTCTCCTTGCACAGGATCTTCAATCACCCTTCAGGGTCTCGGTAAGTTACATACGAAGGTCGCGGAGTCATGGTTTCACAAAACCTCTGAAAACAGCATTCAAGTCACCTCGCTCCGTTCAGTCTCGCCACAAAAAGTTGAGGGGACGATCTGACCGTAGAGTCATTGTTGGCACAAGTTTGAAATTCAACGGCTTTCCAAACAAATTTGATATCCTCATGTTTATTGACCCGGCTGGCATCTGGAAGATAATTCAGGATCGTATCTGATGCTGGGACGCTCAGCGAATTCAGACTATCCGTGTCGTCAAGTGACAAGAATGAAAACAATCTCATGGCGATACGAGCCTCATCTTCGGGGTGTAACACAATGCGCAGCTACCAGTCATGAAGACATGTCTCACTGCGTTCAGATTTGCTGAACAGCGTTGCCCTCGAACGCCCAGCGGCTGTGCAGGTCTGCGCGTTCGGCACATCCAGGCCATCCCCGAGCTTGCTGTTCTGCGCGAAAGCTGCAGTTCGCAATGACATGTCGCAAGCTGTAGTAGCCTTAAAAGGAAGTGCAATAGTCTGGCAATAGTGATGGCAACGACAGACAGCACTGTCCAGAAAAGGAACAGATGCAGCAGCAGCAGCAGCAGCAGCAGCAGCGTCAGCAGAATCAGCAGCAGCAGCAGCAGCAGCAACTGCGACAACAAAAGAAATGGCAGCGGCAAAAGCAATGGCAAAGGCACCACCACCACCACCAACAACAACACCAACACCAACATCAACACACAACAACAACACACAACAGCAACACACAACAACAACAACACACAACAACAACCACAACGAGAACGACAACGACAATAACACCAACCAACACCAACACAAACACCACCACCACCACCACCACCAACAAAGACAACAAGGACAACGAGAACAACGCGAACAATAACACCAACAACACCAACAACAACACCAACAACAACACCAACAACAACACCAACAACAACAACAACAACAACAACAACAACAACAACAACATCAACATTTAAAGTCATCACAGTAAGAAAAATAGCAATAGGAACAA